CTATCCTGGCGTCAACCAGGCTCGGTCGAACACAAGCACCTGCGGACCTTAACAAAGGTTCCCCCAAAGTCGCATTCGTTAGTGAATGAATCTCGGCCAGTGGAATTGGCCTTCCCATTGAGTCTGTGGCACACTCACCCAGGGTAGGGGTTGACCCTTTGATGTTCAGCCTAAGGTAGGATTTGAACATGGGTCTACCGATCATGAGTCTGGAGCGACAACCACTATGCTACCAGTGACCGGTTGGAATTAATTTTCGCTATTTTTGCTGAACGAATGTTTCAGTGAAAATAAAATCCAGCGAATATAATACAAAACATACAAAACACCAAAAAAAGTCTATTCAGGGAAAATTAAATCAGCTAAAATAAAGTATTTTACAGTAGCCTATAATAATGTGCATGTTAGAGACATGGCAAATATACACTGAAATTTTGAAAGTGTGGCCACTAATTTCTATGAAATAATATATAAAAGTGACGAGCATGTATGTTATATCCTGGCATGGATTTACTACAATTTATTAAAAAGACAACTATATATATATATATATGACAGGAATTTAATAGTCCAAAATATGTGGCACGAAGGGAAGTGAGATTGCTACAAAATGAAGCAAATAGTTTTAATAACATTAGATCAGTTGATAGCGCCAAGAGGAAAGACCCTTGCTATATCGCAATTTTCAAAAGGACTTTATTATGGCATGTTGGTTGCCTAACAAAGTTAGTCAAAGGTAATTCCTATTTAGAAATGTACAGTTAAAAACAGAATTATTCATACCCCTACTGAAATTTCAATGTTTTGTGTTTTTTCTGGAAAACAACAGGTGGATACAGAATATTTTGGCCGTAGTTGGATACCTTTACTTGAAAGGTAAAAATTCTGAATGAGTTTTGTACAACCTCATTTGCACAACAAAAAAGCAATAACTTTATTTGTATTTTGACTCACTCAAAATTATTCATACCCTTTGTCAATAAAACTGTAAAGGCATTGTTAAATACTGTTTAACTCCGAACCAATCTTAACTGGTCCTAAATGGTATCAGTGTTTTTGGTAAGGTGCAGAAATTAAGCCCTGAAAAATTGTACTTTACTTAAACATCATTTAAGTGCTTCAAAAGAGTGAAAATAGAGAAGTGGCCAGAATGGCCCACAACCACCATATTTATTATTCCCATAAACTACTGTGACAGCATGTTTATTCAGTGGTGATATTCAGTCATAGGTTTTTAGATAGTGACTGCATAAATTAAAAAAAAATTTCAAA